TTTGCTGAAACCGCGCAGGACTTATTTGTTCCTCTGAAAACAATGCAAAAATTATTTAAGATGTTAAATAAAAATTTCGCCTAAATCGCAGTTAACATCCAGGTTACAAACACTGTCTGTCCTCAAGGGTTTAATGGCCATACGGTTAAGGGAGAAGAGAATACATCCTCTATTCGATTCGATTCTAAACGCGGGTGATCTTATCGAACTCAAGTCAAGTCAACAACAACAATAACAACCAGAACACCGGTTATAACTCCAACCAATTCATAGTTTGTGCGTTCGTCCGCCCGCCCGTCAAACCGACCGAACGTCAGACCAGTGTTCCCGGTTCACTATAGTCACATGGTTGAATAAAACGCCCGACATCCACTCCAGTACACCAAGATAGTGAGTAAACAGATGTGGAGTTTTTCGTGAGCACCACTAGTGCGCGGGTGTGTGCGTGCGTGCGCCAGTGCCCGGTCCTCATCCAAATTTTGTTGGGTTCTGGTCGGATTTCTAATTCTCGAGAAGCTGGTCTCAACGATGAACAAACCGGAACACCGATCTAACATTTCGATTATTATCTGCCTCGGTTTTTTTGGCACATACAAGTAAACCACAACCGGGTTCACGCATGTCCGCGCGTATGTGGATACTACCTTCGAGTACAATGGAAGAACAACTTTTTTTCTCGTGCTGTTCCTATTTGCTCATAGTCAGTCCCCTTGAATAAACATTTACACACCACCAATGATATAGAAGCTTATTTGCCAATGCTGACGCGCGGGGAGGGGGGAGGAACNNNNGGGGGGGGGGGGGTAAAACTCTACATCTATTTTATTTGCACGCCTTACTGCCTTTCCGTCCAGCCGGTTCAAACACAGTTACAATACTTCTTATCATTCTGATAAATCACGTGATATTAACTACAGGTCGTTTGACAAAATACGGAATGTTTGAAGTGTTTCCCATTTATTTTTCCATTCCCCCTTCTCTTAGCTTACATTGGGCACATGTCATCCCCTAAACAAAGACTCAGTAAATCCGAGTCTTATATATTCACACAATGTACCTGACTTGTATTCCTTGCCGTCTGTGCCCTTCTTTCAATTGCATTAATCATATCAGGATTAGTTTATCCCTGTCTGTTGGTTGCGATACTCGGCGAACACAATCTTTACAGTGCACCTCCGATTCGCTGAAATAATCAAGACACACTGGTGTACAGATATTCGAACTGTATTGAACCCTGTAAGGTACAAAGNNNAAAGTAAATGCATGCCTGATGCTGTTTATTCGAGACGAGGAGATGGGTACTTACCCAGGGTTCCATTTGTGAATTGAGTCCCAAAGTGTGTGTATGTCTCCTCCATCGAATAGGATGCAATAACCATTCACCCAGTGGATATCTTGATTAAGCAAGTAGAAAACGCATTAAGTCAATCGACCTCTCTTAATCCTATCTGATGGAATTTCAGACAAACTAGCTCCAGTGCCACACAATTCCAAATGTCATTTGAGATTCACGAAGAAAAACTGACTTAATCTATCGGATCTCTTATTGTTTGAGTTAACCAAACTAGTTTTACAGTTGGGTGCGCATACACAAGTACAGACGATAGAATTTCGTCGCTGTCACTCAGATGACCAATGTGTGTGTACGCGCACTCGTGCATCTGACTTTTAAAACAGGGAATTAACCAAATGGANGACACAGTCTATTGAAAACCGTAATGGTGGTCTTAGTCACTGATTATTTTTTATCAGCAAGCCAAACAGATTCCATCGCTTTTCTCTGTCACGTTGATATCACCTCTACATGGTTTGCACTCTAAGATAGGTCTTGTCCAAAACACAACAGAGAATTGCATTTAAATGGCATTCAGACCTGCATGCGTCTGTCAAGAACGTGTGAGACTATTTGAGAAGCCGAAATAAAAATTGAACAGTTACCTGGAATGACATATCCCATCTAGAACGGGGTGGGGAAACCAGTGCTTTCATTGTAATAATTCGTATACAATTATGCAAATCGCGACAGTTGATTTCTCCTCTTAGATTTCATTAAATTCAGAAGTTTGGAAATCACAATATTGTATTTTTGCATGGGAAGAATTAACTAGCAATCAATAGGGACAGACACATGACTTATGGTTAAGCGCCGATAAATTGTCACGTGACTAAATTTCTCGCGTTAGGAACCCAACACGGTCTGTCATCCCCCCGGGAATAACATGTTCCACAATCAAATGAAGATCTTGCCACACAAACGTCACCTAAACCACCCTAGTCGATTTAACGAAAACAATTATCGTGAGTAGGGCCAGTACGCACGGAGTTCATCGTCACACACTAGTTAATTGGTGAAACTCTCCCGACAGATTTCTCGACTATTACAGACAGAAGGATGTGATGATATTTAGCACGTGGTCGTAACCGCCCAATAAAATCAACACATATATCTGTATAAATTAAAGTTGACTGACATTAGTGAAAGGCAAGGAACACTTCTGTAAATGCGCTGTATCTTTTATTCCAAACAACCTCATGATTATTCAGCTTCCTTCATTCTCTACATGCTGGTAAAAAAAACTTGAAATCATTGATTCTCCTGGCAGTAAAGATCACAATATCCCGATCAACATTCTCATATCAGCAAACTGTAATTTAAAGTGTTTTTTCAACTGGGCAGACCTTGTAATGAATTTATACGTTTGTTCACTTATCTAGTTAGCGTTTTGTTTCATTTGGCATCTCCATAGAGCCTGGAGACCTCCCCC